TATATATATATATATATATATATATATATATATATATATATATAATATTTTAAAAAAGTAATTCAAAGTAAATATTCATAAATATTTATCTAATAACTTACTAATATTGTATGCTGTCTGGGTTAATACTTTTAATCTTAACAGTACTTTGCGTAAGTATTTCATCACTTAGCAAAGTATTATTATATTAGTATTTAAATATTGACAATGTTCTGCGTAAGTATTTTATCACTTACGACGAAGTAGGGTGAACGTACCGTTTGTGGCCATCTTAACCATTTTTGTAACTTTTGAAATGATTTTCTTTTTAACAATGTATAAAAAGAAAAAACTGTTCACTTAAATATATTGTTTAATATCTTAATTTCTAATATTTAAATAAATTTTAGAAAAATAAGCGAATAAATAATGAAAAAGTTAAATAATTGCAAAAATTCCGTGTTACACCATTTTTGGCCACATGTATACCTATTATAGCCATGTAGAGTGCTATTTTTAGTCATGTAGAAAATTTATCATTATAACAAACTTTTGTTCAAAATAAAAAGGTTAGTAAATAACAAAATATAAACTTTCACATATTTCAATGTTTATTAAACAAAAAACACTTAACACTTATTTTGATATAATAATTTTCCCAGTAAGTTTTATAAAACTTTAAACAAACTTTAAACAACTTTAACTTTAACCAAACAATTTTTAGAATATTTTCTTTTTAGTTATTAGAGTTTTCTTTATTTTGCTTTATATTGTTTTTCTAATTTTATTTTTTTTGTTTTTAATTTAATTTGTTTTTCTTCTTTTTTCTGCAATTTAATACTTGTTTCTTCTTCTTTCTTTTCTAATCGTCTTCGTATTTCTTCTTCTTTCTTTTCTAATCGTTTTCGTTTTTCTTCTTCTTTAGCTTTCATGATTTCTAATTTTTCAGAAATAAACACTGAAGGCAAATGTTCTGTTCGTACTCGTTTTTTTTTAATAGTTTTGGGACGAGGCTATACGAGAATGTCTTTTAAAGTATTTTCCATGGATTTTTCAAATATTCTTCCGGAGTCAAGATCTGTACAGTTTTGATCACTACTGTCATTATGTGACTGACTACTAATTACTTGATGGCTATTAGTATTATCCGCTACATTTATGTCATATATTAGGTGCGCAACTAAGTTCCCGCTGTTTGTCAATAGATGGCTCCAGCAATAAGTGCTGGTCGATTTTGACATATCCAAAACGTCATGAACCAAGCTTAGACATATGGTAAACAAACCGCTTTGACACGTTAGTGATTTTGTTTTGGCGTCATATATTTTTGGTTGTGTGAAAATGTCTGATTTTGTGCCAAATAATCGTCATTTGCGGGAAGTGTTGATTTTCTTATTTCATTCAAAGAAAATGGCGGCTGAAGCGCATCGAGAGCTCCAAAAAGTTTACGGAGATGCTGCTCTAAGTGAAACAACGTGCCGTGATTGGTTTCGTCGCTTCAAAGACGGTGATTTCGATGACGACCGTCCGCGTGAAAGAAGGCCAAAAACCTTCGAAGATGCTGAATTGGAGGCATTGCTCGATGAGGATTCGTGCCAAACGCAAGAACAGCTTGCTTCAGCATTAGGAGTTACCCGCCAAGCCATTTCCAAGCGATTGCATGCGTTGGGAATGATTCAAAAGCAAGGAACTTGGGTTCCTTATGATTTGAAGCCAAGGGACGTTGAGCGTCGTTTTTTCGCCTGTGAACAACTGCTCCAGCGGCAAAAAAGGAAGGGTTTTCTTCATCGCATCGTGACGGGTGATGAAAAATGGATTCATTACAGCAACCCAAAGAAAAGAAAGTCATGGGGACTGCCCGGTCATGCTTCTACGTCGTCGGCTCGGCCGAATATTCACGCTGCGAAGGTTATGCTGTGTATTTGGTGGGACCAGGTCGGTGTTATTTATTATGAGCTGTTGAAACCGAACGAAACCATCACTGGGGAACGGTATCGAATTCAATTGATGCGATTGAGCCGAGCACTGCGCGAAAAACGGCCACAATACGAGCAGAGGCACGAAAAAGTGA